TGTGTGTCGCCACGGCCGATGTCATTGTTGCTGCCGATGATGGGGAAGACGACACCCAACGGCAGCTGCTGGTGCGCATCGGTGATGATGACGAACCACGCGGCCGACCACGCCGTCCCGTGCCGCTGCTGGTGTCGCTGTTGGTGTTGGTTGTGTGTCTGCGACCTCGACTGGAGGTGCTGTTGTCGTTGTTGTCGTTGTTCTTGCTGCGGTGCCGATGGTTGCGATGGGAGTGGTGGTGGTGGTGATCGTGGCCTTCGTTGTGTGTTGCGCGCATGCTGCCAAGGAACAGGCCTGGGTCCTGCGTGATGCTCGAATAACGCGTCAACACCCGCTCCAGCTCCTCCTCCCTGCAACGTGAACGAGCGACAGGAGCGTGCAGTGAGGGTGCTCCAAGTTAAGGGGAGACGCGTGCGTGTGTGCGTGCGTGCGTGCGTGTGTGTGTGTGTCTGTCTCACTCAATGACTCAGTGACTCAGTCACTCAGTCACCCAGTGACTCAGTTAGTCAGTCAGTCAGTCAGTCAGTCACTCACTCACTCACTCACTCACACACTCTCTGTGCTACCTTGCGAGCTGAAGAAAGAGCTGAAAGTCGGAAGATGGTGTGCTGACCTGAAACGCAAAGCCAGTGACAAATCGACAATGTGAGACGCTCGGAATGGGAACAGGCAAGAGGGTGTGTGTGCGCGCGTGTGTATGTGTATGTGTGTGTGTGTGTTGCATGGATAGGTACTTGTGGGGAAGAGGAGAGAAGCGGCCCAGAATTGGCGTCGTCCGACATCACGCGCAGCCGTCGTGTCTCAAGCGTGTACAGCTCAATAAACTCCGTAAGCTTGCTCACAAGCGAGCGTTGTCTGCCACACACAGAAACACACGCGTGGAAGAATTGCCGATCAGCGAAGCCACATAGATACGCAGTGATGATGCGTGCACAATCACCACACCACACACACACCCACACACACACACACACACGCACACACATACACATATGCACACACATACACATACACATACACGCACACACACGCACACACACATGCGCATGCACACACGCGCACACATGCAAACATGCACGTGCAAACGCACACATGTGTACGTGCGACCCAACCTATCACGAAGGGCCATCTCAGGATCAAAGGGGCGCAGGCGAAACGTGCCAACGGGCAAATGTTTCACAGCGCGTTGCAAGAACGCTGCCACAAGGTCCACTTGCTGCAGCCGCTGCTTTCGGTCTCGCGAGGAGGACTCAGCTGTGTTGATCACAGAGACCGTGGCAAAGTGAGATGGGGGTTGGTTGGTTGGTTGGTTGGTTGGTTGGTTGGTTGGTTGTTAGCGACGGCGCAGGCAGAGTGGAAAGGTCCCATTCTGCACGCCAAGCGCAGCAACAAAACCACCAGGGGCAGAGGGCATCAACAACAGCACAAAGACTGAACAACCGAAGGAAAGAAGGAAAGAAGGAAAGAGCCAGCGACCAAAAAACAAACCAATCACGCGTACTCACTCACCCGTCCTGCTTTCACCAAGAATGCGGTCGCGCATGCGTTTCAAATATTCTGCAAATGCGTCGCGGGCCTGCAGTGGCCTGTCAGCATGTACAGCAGCGAATACAGCATGTGCAACGTGTTATGGTCATGGAAAGTCACACGCAAACACTCTTACCCATCCTCGCACACAGGCAAACACACACAGAGCAATGTGCACCACACACACACACACACACACATAAAACACACCACGCATGCACGCACACACACACACACACACACACACACACACACACACACACACACAGATGCGTCACATGGACTCACGTGAGCTCGTGCTGGTACTCGAGTGTTGGGGAGGGACTGCGTTTGTGGCGGGAAGAGGATGAAGACGACCGAAATGGGTTTCGATGTCTCGAGGATGTGCTTGCATCACTACGGCCTCGGCTTGCATCATCGCCACCATCGCCGTCTGTACGTGTACTTCGTGCTGCGCCCTTGGTGGACGTGGCCTCATTCCTCTCCTCCCCACTTCCGGCGCCACGCGTGCGCGTTTGCTCATCAGCATGAGTGCGCCGGCGACCGGCATCACTCCGTCCCGCCTGTGGGCGCCGCAGCGACTTTGGAGCAGTGACCTCACACTCCACCATCTTCCAAGGTGACGTGTAGAGGACATGTTGCAGCAATTGCACGTGTGCGTGTGCGTGCGTGTGCACATGTGAGCAACCACGTGGACTTGTGTTTGCGTGTCAGCAATTCATTGCGAAGGCGCAGACCGCATCCAACATCTCCTCACTCGCGCATCAGAAAACACACGCACACACATATACACACGTTCACGCACAGATTGTGCTCGAGTGTACTCACGTCTTGTTCCTCATCGTCATCGTCGCCCCTGGCGCTTGATCTGCGGTCCTGGGCCGTCGCCTTGGTCCTGTTCTGCGTTTTCTTCTTCTTCTTCTTCCCACCATGCCGCCTCGTTGTGCTTCTGTTGCGGTTGGCAAGCATGCGCATGTACTTCTTGCAGCGCTGCCGCAGCTCCGCCGTCACCAGCGGTTCCGGTGCTGTTCGCCCGTGGCGCGACACAACCGCCCGACGCGCGGGCGTACGGTGGCTGGTGTGCATGCGGTGGCACGTGCGGGTGTAAGAGGGCGACGGCACGGGTGTTGTGTGTGTGCGTGTGTGTGTGTGCGTGTGTGTGTGTGCGTGTGTGTTGTGGGTGATGTGTGTGTGTGAGTGTGTGTTGTGGATGTGTGTATGTGTGTGCGTGCGTGTGTGTGTGCGCGCGCGTGTGTGTGTGCTTGTGTGTAGCAGGGTCCACTCCATCCCAGCTCACCTCTGCGGATACAGAAACTGCGAGAGCATGAGGTTGTTGCCGCTACTGTCTTCAAGAAGGAATCTGGTGTCGTACGCAGGGTAAATGAGTCAGAACGAGCGGCATAACCAACAAGGGTGCCATGCACTCACAAGGCGAAGTACGCAACCCTACAAACACAGACAAAGATGCACACACACACACACACACACACACACACACACACACACACCAACCCGTATTGCTGCCATGACGCTTCGCTCGGGAAAATGCGGGAAAATCCGTTGAATTGAACCGTCACCTCTTCTTCAATCGTTCGCCTACAATTGATACATGCACACGAGTCAACGCGTGTGGATGGGAAGGAACACGGAGGGCACAGCAGCGTTGGGCAGGTGGTGCGCAGTAGAGTGAGCCACACACACACACAAACACACACACACACACATACACGCACGTACACACGCACCACGTGTGACCGCATAGACCCATGCAAACACACACACACACACACGCATGCAAACGCATGTAAACGCATGTAAACGCAATTACACACACATGCACACGCATGCAAACCACATGCACACTCCCTGACTGCTGACCTGATGATGGTTCGCTTGTCTGGGGAATAGCCGCGAAGATCAGGCCAGGAGATGTTGAGCACGGGCATGCTCTTGGGCACCTTCATCTTGCGTGGCTGCACAGATAGATGGGGCCAGCAGCACACATGTGAGATGAGGTTTGAACAGCAGCATTCGTGCAAAAATGCACGACGCAAAGAGAGCAACAGCAGCAACCACAAGCAGCAGCAGGAGCAGTTGGTGACTCTCGCTTCTGCCGACGACAACACAACTGAGACACCCTCCCCCCTACACCCCCCCCCCCCTACGTTTGCTTGCACCGACCTTGTATGCGCCAATCCTGCGCCGCCGCATTTCGTCACGAAAGACGGCCGGGTCAAACAGGGCCACCTGGCCCAAACTGAGGAAATCAGCAATCAAATGCGTTTTGAGCTTGAGGTCAAGTGGAGCGTCGCAGCCAAGCGAGGGGGACAGGTTCACCTCCAGCAGCCAGGGTTTCAAGTCGCCGTCCACGAGAATGTCAAACCCATACAGCTCAAAGCAGTTGTGCGGGTGCGGAACAAAGGACCGGACGGCCGCAGCGATGGGCAGCTCGCCGGCAATGACTGTTTTGATGATGAGCTCCTCGATGCGAGCCATGAGCACGTGCACGTCAATGTCAGCGCGGGCGAGGTGTCGCAGCAGCGCACTCAGGCTCCACTTGTTGCCGTAGTCCTCAACATCCTCCTCATCGCACACGACGTAGTTGTCGCTGTGCTTGTTCAGGCTGTAGTTGGTGAGGTGCATGTAGGTGTTGAAGAGGTTGGGCTTGCTTGCGTCATACTTGGTCGTGGCAAACCTGGCCAGGCCGTCCTCGTAGAGATAAATGCGCAGGGGATCGTAGCTCGTCACCGCCACATACACGCGAAGGTCAAACTTGAACCCGTCCACCAGCAGGGGGTTGTCAATGTACTGCGAGAGCACGAGCGTTGTGTCGACGGGCAGCTGCTTCGGGTGGTTGATGAGGAAGATGCCTTTACCCTGGGAGCTCGCTGCCGGCTTTGCAATCCACGATCCGCGCTCGCGTGCCCAGTCTGCATAGAACTCGTCGTGCTCGGCAGGCAACAGGTACGTGCGCGGGAGGAACTGGAAGTGGCGGCGGCCCTTGACCTGCTGCATGCGCTGGATGTTCACGTGCAGCCGGTCCTTGCGTGTCAGCTCGTACGAGCGGGGGAAGTGGTTCACCTTCTGGTGCGGGTTCAGCAGCTTGAGCTGGTGCGGCTGCATGTGTGTGGACGACCACATGAGGTTGAAGTCCACGCTCGTCTCCGGCACCTCAACAAACCCGTGCTGCGTGAGCGTGGCGCGGATGAGCCGTGTGCGCGCCTTGACCAGCTTGAATGCAAGCATACACCCCGACACCTCCACCGCGTCGTGTCCGACAATGTCCAGGGCCGTCACCGGGTGGAATCGCAGCACAGGCCGCCGCCTCCCCGATATTTTCACCACGATTGGCGCTCCTTTCGTGTGCACATATCCACCCAGCTCTGCTGTATCATCATCATCATCGTCATCGTCGCCATCGTCATCATCGTCGTCGTCATGGCTTTCCTCGCCTTCATACTCTTCTCCTTCTTCGGATGCATCGCTACTGTCAACACCACCACCACCACCATCCCTATGCCCGTGGCCATCATTGGACAGCTGCCTGTTGCGGCGGCCACTGCTGTTGTGATTGCTGCGGCGCTTGGTGGTGGAGGTCCTGGTGCTGCCCTTGGACGCAGCACCGGACCTCACTTGCTTCTGCTCCACCCTCTGAGCTCTGCCGTTGTTTGCCAATGTACTTTGCGACCGCAGTGACGCTGGCATTGCCGTTGCTGATGGAGCAGGCGCTGTCATCGCGGGGGTGGCACGACCGCTCGCGTCGCGACTGGATGAGGACGACGACGATGTCCGCGACTTTGGGCCACGCACACGCGCCGATGACGAGGCAGACGGCGATTGCAGCTTCTGCTTCTGTCGACGATTGATTCGCCCGGGGTCTTGCGTTTTGGCCGCAGAGAAGGCGGCGGAGGCCGGCCTTGACTGAAGCGATACGGCCGACCCGCGCCCACTGGAGCTTCCGCTCGCCGAGGCTTTGTTCCTGCTGCTGTTCCTGCTGCTGTTCCTGCTGCTGTTCCTGCTGCTGCTGTTGCTTCTGCTATCTTCGCTCTTGCCGTCGATCTGGGTGGTGCTGGAACGGCCACCACTTGTTGTCGGGGTCACGGCATGCCTTGGTCTATCCGCATTCTTGCTTGTTGGCTTGTGTGCTGTGTTTGCGGTGCGTCTTCTCGCGGTGGCGCGAGGGGTCCACATGGGTGACCGCTGCGTCCAGTGGTCCGAGTATGATGTGTTCATGTCGTCATCAACAACGTCTTTGCCCTCGTCAAGGCCATCGCCATCATCGCCAGCATAATATTCATGGTCAGAAGCATCGCCGTTGCCGTTGCTGTCGTCGTCGTCGTCGCCACTGATGGCTTGTCTCTCCAACCGAGACAGGAGATCACCTGTGGCGGCGTCACTGCCGCTGCCTGCACCTTCCTCTTCATCCTCATCATCGGTATCCAAGCGCGAGGCATCGGCAACATCGGTGGCCGTGCCACCGTCGTCGTTCATGGGAGAGCGGCCGGAAAGGGCTGGGCGGGTGCGTTGGGTGTGCTGGCCATGCTGGTAGCGTGAACTCGGCGCCACGGTGCGATGGTTGCCTGAGTTGTGTGGGCCGTGTCGTCGGTGTGTGCTGCTGACAGTGGACGCTGCCTGCCGATGTCGGGACGACGAAACAGTTAATCCTGCTGCTGTTGCTGATGGTGATGCTGCCGTAGACGCAGATCTGCGGGTGCGACCACCGCCAGCAGCAACAGCACTCGCAGGCATCGTTGGCACCGGTCCAAGGGTCCAGGTCGCTGCATGCACCGCCAGCTCGTTGTTGGTTGGTTGGTTGGTTGGTGGCGTTTTGGGGTGCGCACACCACAAAAGGTAGTGAGGAAGGACTTCGCGTTTGTTTGTGTCTGCTGCTGTATGATGATCGACTGAGACTTCTTCTTCTTCTGCTGCTGCTGCTGCAACACCAACCGTGATGACGACGACGACACCGCCCGAGCGCGTTGAGAGCGATGTGGCGTACTTGGTGCCCAACTCCAGCGCAGATGTGCTGCTCTACTTCCACCCCACCATGAAGGAGGTGATGTGCGCGCGCGTGTGTGTTTCGGTATGTGTGTGTGTGTGTGTGTCGGTATGTGTGTGTGAGTGTGTGAGTGTGTGTGTGTGTGAGTGTGTGAGTGTGTGTGTGTGTGTGTGTGTGTGAGTGTGTGAGTGTGTGAGTGTGTGTGTGTGTGTGTGAGTGTGTGTGTGTGTGTGTGTGCGTGTGAGTGTGTGAGTGTGTGAGTGTGTGAGTGTGGGTGTGTGTGTGAGCGCGTGAGTGAATGAATGCTTGTTGGGCTTGAGCATGGGTGCTACTTCTTCTCTTCTTCTGGTTGCCTCATTATTTTACGTGGTGTTACACTTGTATTTGCAAAACAAGGTGGCGCAACGCTTGGGCGATAACGTGCTAGAGCTCCAATCGCAGCAAGGCAACGTCGGACGCCTTCGTAAACAGGTGCGGCGTCCATGTTTGCCGGACGTGGGCGATGATGTGCCCTGAAGATCATGTTGTTCTCTTGCTGGAGTCGTTGTTCTCTCGTTGATGCCATGCGTGGTTGTGTTGATGTACTGATCTGCGATGGATGCAGCTGGATGTCCGTGATGACATTCGCTGGGAAACGTTCAAGGACGGCTTCCCAAACCTCTTCATCGAGGTGAGCATGTTGTTGTGTGGTTTTGTGTGTTGTACGTGTATGTGTGGTGTGTGTGCACGTCGTGTGCGTTGTATGTGTGTGTGTGCGTTGTATGTGTGTGTTCATATGTGTGTCTGCATGCGTTGTGTGTATGCGTTGTGTGTATGTGTGTGTGTGTGTTGAACATGCTCTGCCGATCATCTACCCACTCATGTTATGCCATTCACATCCCTTCCTCGTCAAAATGTTGACAGAATGCGGAGATCATCAAGTCGCGGGACGTCATTTTCTTGGTAGTGTGGCGCTCACGTGATACATGTTTTTGTCGCTGCTGCTGGGAATGGGGATTGCACATTGCTCACTGCACTGTTGTGGCGTCTCAGTGAGCTCCTTCACTTCTTCAGTGAGCTCTTTCACGTCCCTCCACACATGTGAACACGTTCTTATTCGCACACACAACCTTGTTGCAGGCCAACTTCTTCCCGTCGCAGCTCATCTTCGAGCAGCTGGCTGTCCTCTACATGCTGCCAAAGTCTGTGCGCTTGCGTTTGCTTGTTCGCATGTACGTGTGTGCATGTGTGTGCATGTGTGTGCATGTGTGTGCATGAGGACAAACGCTTGTTGACTGATTTGTGAGTGTGTGCCAGTCGTTTGTGTGACGCGCATGGATGATACTGTCGTTTCACCACTCCTCTCCACAGGTACATGGCAAAGTCGCTGACCATTGTCTTGCCGTACTTTCCAACGGCAACAATGGAGCGGGTGGATGATGAAGGCCAAATCCCAACAGCGGTACGGCGTTGTGTGTGTGATTGTGATTGTGTGTGTGTGTGTGTGTGATTGTGATTGTGTGTGTGTGTGTGTGTGCATGTGCTTGACTGGCATGCGGTTGTAGTGCTCGCCATTCGCAGTCGAAACGAGAATCGCTGCTCAACACACATACATACACACATACATACACACACACATACATACATACATACATACATACATACATACATACATACATACACACACATACATACATACATACATACATACATACATACATACATACATACATACATACAAACATACATACATACATACATACATACACACATACATACATACATACATACATACATACATACATACATACATACATACATACATACATACATACATACATACACACACACGTACATTCACGCACACATTTTCTCTCAATGTACATGCAGGTAACGCTGGCGCACATGCTGTCTGCTGTGCCGCCAACCCGCGGTGGTCCGCCGCAAGTCGTGGTCTACGACATCCACACGCTGCAGGAGCGCTTCTACTTTGCAGACTCTGTTCTGCCGCGACTGGAAACGGCCATTCCGCTGTTGCAGCAGCGGCTCCGCGCGACGTTTGGCGCCGAGTTGGAGACCGACGTGGTCGTCATCTTCCCGGATGACGGTGCCTCAAAGCGCTTTGCAAAGCGGCTGCAGGACTTTCACTGCCTCACGTGCTCAAAGGTGCGATGGTTGCGGTGATGGTGGACGGTGAACACCATTGCAGCGCCTTTTGGTGGAAGCTGGCAGCCAAACGGGGGCTTCCACAGCACACGTACTCAAGCGCTCATACACCACACACACACACACACACACTCATGTACACACACTCATGTACACACACTCACGCACACTCACGTGCACACTCATGTACACGCTCTCTCTCGCACACACACACATGCTCGCTCGCGCACACATGTACGCATTCACACACATACCCATTCACAACCTTTCATCTCTGATGCAGAAGCGGCAGGGGGACCAGCGGGTCGTGTGGTTGGCGGAGGACGAGAGTTTGGAGGGGAAACACGCCGTCATCGTGGACGATCTTGTGCAGACCGGTGGCACACTCAAAAGCTGTGCACGTTTCATCCACTCCCGAAGTACGTGGACAAGGGTGCATGTGCACATGGGGTTGCACTGTGCGTAGTTGTGTGTGTAGCTGTGTGTGTGTAGCTGTGTGTGTGTGTGTGCGTAGTTGTGTGTGTGTGTGTGTGTGTGTGTGTGTGTGTATGTGTGTGTGTGTGTGTGTGAACCTTCGTTTATGAGGCACACGTTGACGCGCGCACGTGCACCACACGCACACATTGTGTGCAAATTTTGTCTTGTGATCTTGCGTTTTTGATTTGGGTGTTGTACTTGCGCCTTGACACAGACCCGGCCAGCGTCTCCGCATATGTGACCCACGCCGTGTTTCCACAAGCAAGGTTTGCACGTTCTTTCACCCGCACGTGCTTGTGCTGTGGCGCTTCTTCGGGCTGCTATGCGTGCATTTCTCACCTTGCATATGTATGTGCATGTGTATGTGTGGTTTGACTGGGCAGCTGGAAAGGCATCGTGGAGTGTGGCATCTTCAAGCACTTTTGGTACACGGACACATGTCCTGAAACAGCAAAGCAGCTGGCTGGCGTTGCTCCGTTTGAGCTCATTTCCTTCACGCCGCACCTTGCTGGTCTCCTCTATGACTTTGACCTCGCCGTCAGCTAAACCAACTGTGTGCTGTGCGTGTGTGTGTGTGCGTGTGTGTGTGTGTGTGTGTGTGTGTGTGTGTGTGTGTGCGTTGGTGTGTGTGTGTGTGCGTGTGTGTGTTGTGTAAATGATCCATGCTATCGTTGGACTCAAGTCACGTGGTTGTCACGTCAAAATAAAACCAAATCTGGCTGGCATTGTTTAGTTCTTGGTGATGGCAACTTGCACAAAAGGGCACATACGAATCTCGTGAGTCCAATCGTGTGTGCAGGCACAATCATACACACACACACACACACACACACACGTGCGCCATCATGATTGGCGCTTTGCTCGAAGAGACATTTCCTCGCCGGCATTCAGTGGCACGACCTGTGACGCAAATCATGAACACAGGGGATGAGAGGGAAGACTTCGCAAGTGAAGGAAGAAGGCGCTTGCGCGAAAACACACAAAGACACACACAGACACACAGACACACACACACACACACACCTCTGTGTCTCCGAGTGGGTAGCTATCTGGGATTGACCAGGGCTCCTGCACAATGTCCACGCGCCCTTCGTTTGGTTTCAGTCCGTAGAAGTTGGCGCCGTTCTCGCCAACAAACGCCTGGCAATGGTGAAGAGCGGGATGGATGTTGGTTGCAATGCATTGCATTACATGACAAATGGCAGTTAAAGGGGTGCACATGCAAGTCCGTCAAAGCCATTACTCTGTCTCACCTCGATGACAACCAACGCAGATACACACAGACACACACAAGCACACAGGCACACACAACCAACGCAGATACACACAAGCACACAGACACACACACACACACATACAGACACAGACACAGACACATACACAAACTCACTGGCAGGTGTTGAATGCAGCCGGCAGCGCGGAAAACGGTTGCGTACAGCTCGAGCGAGGCGTGCATCGTGTAGCAGCCAGCGCTGCAACAAGCTGGTGTTCATGTAGGCGGTACATGTGTGTATGTTTGTGTGCATACGTGCATGCGTGACCTTGAGCAAAGCGAAATGTGAAGCGGAGGCACAGCATGCGTTGTCATCACAGCAAGTGACAGCAGGAGACGCAGGGGTGACTGGCACAATGGCAGGCCGTAAGTTTTCGATGATTCATGCGCAACGTGCACGTACAGGCCTCTTTGCGGTGACGCGGGTGCGGCGCACTGTCTGTGCCCATGAAAAACTGCCGCCCACCAGTGCAACAAAGCAGGGCAGGACAAAGTGAGTTCGGCAAGGACCACAGATTGGCATGCCTCTGGCTGCATTCACACACACACACACACACCCGCATGCACACACACACACACACACACACACACACCCACACACACCCACACACACACACCCGCACACACACACACACAACACATGCGCAAACAAACACAGTCAAACACACACTCGCATGCACACTTGCGCATCTACGGCCATTCACATACACACACACACACATGCGCACGCACAGCCACACGCTTTGTCACACCTTTGTGCTTCCGCTTTGGATGGCGGAAAGGAGCGCCTGCCTATCCGCCTCCGTCTTGAGGATGGGGAGGCAGTACTGAACACGACAACACGTAGTGGAATGCAATCACATCATGTCATGTCACGGCAGCAACGCACGACACAAAATGTGTGTGGCGGTTGTGCAGGACATGTGGATAAGTGTATGTCAGCGCGTGCGGCAGATCTGGAAGGTACTGCGCAAGCGCACTGCATCCATAGTTGGAGGCACGAGGTTTAGGAGTTGAATAGTTTGCAAGTGCACAACCTTGTGGGGCCGGAGGCCCTTTTCGAAGATTGCGTTTCGGTTGTGAATCAGGTGCTGGCACGTGATGGTGGCCGCGACGTTGGAACCACACGACCTATCATTACAGAAGCAGCAACAAGGAAGGAAGCAGGAGTTGAGGACATCCGCCAGGTCAACAGCACTCAAAAAACAAAAAAAAAGCAGCAGACAACCACTAGTGTACACGCATGGCACGTGTACGCCAGAGGGTGCGGTGGGGTTGCTCCACAGTGTCATGGCATGGTGTGGGCTCACCGCACAAACTCGACGGCTGCTGCTGTTGTAATGTGCTCCATCACCACCTGAAAGCAGACGAATGGGTTGTGTGCACAGAGAAAGCGATGAGTTTGTGTTTGTGTGCGTGTGCGTTTGTTTGTGCGTGTGTGTGTGTTTGTGTGTGTGTGTGTTTGTGTGTGTATGGCTTTGGGTGCATTCTGATTGCTCGCAGGCTTGCACTGTTCCACCAAACACATACACATACACATACACATACACATACACATACATGCATCCACGCAATCGCACCTTGAGGTTTGGATGGTTGGCGACGATAGTGCGCATGTGTCGTTCGATGAAGACGCGCTCGCGCTCAAAGAAGTCGACGTCGCTGTCTGTGACTTCACCATGCACCAGCAGTGGCATGCCAACCTCTGCCATCGCCTCGAGGGCGCCCTTGCACTTGGAGATGTCTGTCACGCCGGAATCCGAGTTGGTCGTCGCACCTGCAGGATACAGCTGCAAATGTGGATGTGTGCGTTTGCGTGTACGTGTGGGCGTTTGCGTGTGCGTTTGTGCATTTGTGTGTGCGTTTGTACGCGTGCAATTGTTTGTGCATGTGTGTGTATGTTTGTATGTATGCGTGTGTGCGCATGCGCGCTTGCATGAATATGTGTGTGTGTTCTCCGCAATCCTCACTGGTGAACACGGGTCGCAGCGTGCTCACCTTCACAGCAAAGATTTGGCCAGTTTCCTTGGCCTTGCGAATCTGCAAAGAAGAGGTGTCATCATTGAGCACATGTGAACCGGAATAGGAAGGACACTGTGTGGCGAATAGCAACATGTACACAATGTACATCATGTTCGTGGGCACACTGTGCACATTGTACCAGCCCACGCACGTGCGCACCTCATCGCCCGTGGTGTTGTCGGTGAGGTAGAGCGTCATGAGCGGCTGGAAGTCGGATTCTGCGGGAAGGGCCTTCATGATTCGCTCACGATACGCCAATGCCTGTCACATCATGTGTACATGAACGTGAAGGTAACGGTAAGACTTGTGTGTGTGATTGCAAGCGTGCGTTGACGTGGACAGTTTCTCGGTTGTGTGTGAAGGTGTGTGAAGGTGTGTGAAGGTGTGTGAAGGTGTGTGAAGGTGTGTGAAGGTGCGTGTGTGTGTGTGTGTGTGTGTGTAGTCGTGTGTGTGAAGGTGTGTGAAGGTGTGTGGAGGTGTGTGTGTGGGGTCGTGCGTGAAGATTTGTGTGCATGTACACTCGTGTGCATGCGCACTCGTGTGCGTGTCTGTCTGTGGAATGACTGGTGGTGGTTCCAGCACCATGTCTGTGTTGATGACCGGGGGCACGAGGTTTGGCATGACGATGGCTCGCTTCACATATGGCGGGATGTCTGAACGGCATCATGTCATGTCACAGCAAAGCGGGGAAGCGAAAGCGAATGAGGCCTGAGATAGGGACCTGGCACGATGCCACATACACACACCCACACATAAACGTTAAAGCTTGTGTCAAAGCACTCACGCTGTGCAAGGGACTGCATGATGTCGCCATCGCGCAGGTGCAAGTGGAGATCATCCACTGGCCGGCACGAAATCAGCACATTGTCCCCTGGCATGTGTGTGCGTGTGTGTGTGTGTGTGCGTGTGCGTGTGCGTGTGCGTGTGTGTGTGTGTGTGTGGTCTGCGTTGGTCGTAGAGGAATGAAACTTGAAGCAGTTGAGGTCATACAGACACACACACACACACACGCACGCACAGACAGAAAGACAGACACACACACACATGCACAGACACACAGACAGACAGACACATGCACCTGTCTTTGCGCGCTTCTTGCTTTCCTCCTCAGTGGACGACATGGCTACGCTGTTGCGACACCACGAAGTTTGTCACGCCAAGTTTGGGCGATTTGTGGATATCTTCGCATTTTATTCGGCAAACCCCGCCCAACAACTTTTGATTTTTTCTGTGGTTGTTGTTGTGTTGTTCCACCCACCCACCCTTCCAAGCCAAGCAACGTCGAGGGTGGAGACGTTTCCCCTTTCCCTTCCCTGTGTCAGCGTCGTCTTGTGCTTCCTTCTTGATTGGTGGCCATCGCATCGAGCGATATCTTGCTTTTCTTTGGTGCACGTTAGCTTGGCTCACCGACGCAGGCCAAGCAGAGGCAGGCACGTGTTCTCGTTGTCCAGTGCTCTGCTTGCAGGCACCAGAACGGAGGTTTTGCGTGGCCGCGACGACGTTGCTTTTTTCGTTGTCGTTACAGCATCACGCAGCGGCGCTTCCCCGAAACAATGAGGCTGGTTGGCCCATCGCGGGGCTGCATCCTCGCCTTGTCGTTGCTGGTTGTTGTGGTTTGTCTCGTTACGACCACAGCCGCAACAGGTACGTGGTGGATGCGTTTGCTTTTCGAGAACGGTTCTGCTGAGTGGGTTGCTTGTGTTGGACACTTGGGGGTTTTGCTCGATGATCCTTGCAATACATCCGCACCTTCTCCACAGCCTGTTCACCATATGCGCATGCATACACACACACATACACCTCTTTCTTTCTTTCTTTCTTTCTTTCTTTCTTCCTTCCTTTCTTTCTTTCTTTCTTTCTTTCTTTCTTTCTTTCTTTCTTTCTTTCTTTCTTTCTTTCTTTCTTTCTTTCTTTCTTTCTGCCATCGCTCCTTCACCAACCACATCCGCTCAACAATAACGTTAGGCTTGTTCCCGTCCATTGAAAACGCCGCGCGAGACAAGCCCGTGAGCGTGACGTCAAGCTGTGGGTTTGACGGCGACATCAACTCCTTCTGTGACCCAACTGATGATGGCGTCACCGCTGCAAACGCCTGCAATGGACAGGCTGCGATGGTCTGCAATGCCACCTGCCCCTACGGCAGTGCTGCGCCACAGCAATACGACTTGCTGGACCCCGACACCATCTCCTACTTTGAGGATGTCACTTTCCGGCCAAACTCCATCGAGCTGGGAGCGACAAGCCAGCTGCTCATCCTGTCGTCTTCGGCCGCGTTTCCGCCAGCGTCCTCCGCTGCCACCGGCCTTACGCTTGCAGCTCGCATTCGCACCACGCAGCAGCAGCGCACGTGCGTTGTCTCCAAGAGTGCATCGGGCTCGCCCGTGTTCTCGCTGTGCCTGCGGGGCGCAGACAACGTGCTGGAGTTCACTGCAGGCAGCGATGTCACCAGCTTCAACCACACGGGCTCTGGGCCTGTCGTGGACGGCGCATGGCATCACATTGCCGTGATCGTGCTCCAAGACCAGGCCAGGTTCTACATCGATGGCTTGCTTGCAGGCACCGAGAGTGCCACTTTCCCGTCCGATGTCAATTCCGGCAGCATCGTCGTTGGCCAGGGATTCAGCGCTGGTGCGTGCGTGCGTGTGTGTGTGTGTGTGTGTGTGTGAGTGCAACACGGATTCGGTGAGAACATGTGCGATCAACAGCGAGTGGGAATGAGGCAGGGGGCTGCTCTGTGTAGCTGTGAGAGGCGTCTTGCCTCGTCTATGCTTCGGTAACATCCCACTTGTAGCCCACAGCCGCTCACAGTTGCTCACGCACACACACACACACACACATCACTGTTCGCACTGCAGCTGATGTGTTCATCGGAGAGCTGGGCGGCGTGTATGTGTACGCGCGGGCAGTGGAAATATACGACATTTGCACCCTTGCAGGAACATCGCCGTGCCAGCAGCCAACGCCAGACGACGGCTGCCGCTGCCCTGCTTCCCACCCCATCACCGCCGACGACAACGCCAACCAATGCGTCGCAACGTGAGTGGCAATCCATCGCATACACATGTTGACGACAGCGCACGTGGATTGAGCCTGTGCTGTTTCACGGGAGTTGTTGACCCTGACTGGAGAAAACGTGTTGATGAAATCTTACACCGTTCCCAGCGCCCAGAGGTGCTGCACATATCAGCATTTTCCTCCATTAGGTTGCTTTATCACCAATCACCACTTTCTCCCACAACATAACAAACCCACCTTCTGATTCATTGGTTCCTCCCCCAATCACTTGTGCAGATTTGCTGCGTCTGGACCGCGTGTGCAGCGAACAAACATATTCAGCTATGGTGCCTCGGCTGCGGTGGACTCGAGTGCGGCAACGTACTGGCGCTCGGGCAGGAACGACAGCCCCGTCAACGTCACCCTCGACCTGCAAGGGCTGTACGAGTTTATGCGCTTGGAAGTGAGCTTTGTGTCCGACCGGCCACACTCCATGGTCGTCGAGCGCTCCGCCGATGGCGGCAGCACCTTCAGCGCCTATCGCTACGTCTCGCGGGATTGCCCCTCCGCCTTTGGGCTGCCAACCCTCTCGCCAAACGATGCCGCAAGCCCTGATCAGGTCATCTGCACCCTCATGCCGGACGGGCCTGGTGCTGTGGACTTCATCCTGTTTGAGCAAGGCAATCTCCCCGAGTACCTGCCAGCAGATTTGGCCGACGTCCTTTTTCCCTTCTCCCAAGTTACCCACGTCCGCTTTCACATCACCCAGCTCGCAGGTGCGTGCATGCGTGCATGCGTTGTGATGTTTGTTGTGTGTTGTTGTGGGGTGTGCTGTGTGAAGCTATGTGTGCGTGCATTACTGCGTGTTGGTGTGTGCGTGTGTGCGTGTGTGCGTGTGCGTGTGCGGGTGTGTGTGTGTGTGTGAGCATGCGTGTGTGCGTGTGCGTGTGCGTGTGCGTGTGTGTGTGTGTGAGCATGCGTGTGTGTGCGCGCGTGCGTGCGTGTGTGTGTGTGCTCTTACCTAGCGAACAAGCACTGACATCCACATCCACATTCGCACCCACGCACGCACATGCACGCACCAACACGCACTCGCACGCGCGTAGGCACGTACGATGAACAGCCTGGTGATCCTGCGTTGCGGGACAGCTATGTTGCCATCTCGGATGTGACTGTGACGGCACGCGTGCTGTGCAACGGACACGCTGACAGCACACGCATTGCGGAGCGAAACCGCCGCCCCTTTGAGATCTGCGACATGTGTGCCCACAACACCCAGGGCGACCAGTGCGGCCAATGCGCACCGCTCTTCAACAACGCCCCGTTTGCCCGCGGCACGGGCTTTGAGACCAACGCGTGTGACATGTGCGAGTGCAACGGTCACGCCAGCGCGTGCGCCTTCAACGCCACCCTCAACACGGGCATCTGCAGCGACTGCGACAGCCAAACCGCTGGCGACAACTGTGACACGTGCGATGTCGGCTACTACCGCGCAGCTGGTGTGTCTGCCGACGCCACGAACCCATGCCAGCCGTGCTCCCACTGCAACGCCAACGGCGTGGACCCGAGCATTGTGTGTGTGCCCGACCCCATTCAGGGCGATGCAGGCACGTGCGCGTGTGTCTCGCCGTACATCGGCAGCACATGTACCGCATGCATCGACACGTTCTTCTTCAACGCCAGCACCAGCACGTGCCAGGCGTGCGCGTGTGATGACGACGGCGCCAGCGAGGCACGCACCTGCGACGCGCAGGGCGTGTGTACGTGCAAGGCGGGCTACACCGGCGACAAGTGCGATGCTTGTGCAGACGGCTTCTACCGTTCCGCTGCCAGCGGGCTGTGTGTCGCCTGTGCCTGCAACACAGCCGGCACAGAGCAGGGCACTGCGGTGTGCGATAAGGCCACTGGCCAGTGCCCATGCACATCCACGCACACGAGCCGTGACTGCGGCGAGTGCGTCGACAGCTACTATCTTCTGCCCAATCAAACATGCGCAGCGTGTAGCTGCTTTGCAGATGGCTCTGTGTCGTCGTCCTGTGACAGCGACGGCGTGTGCATGTGCGTGCAAGGCGGCGACTACGTGGGTGACAAGTGTGACGTGTGCCGCCCAGGTCTTACAGCGAACATCATTCGTCAGTGTGCAGACGCCACTGGCGACGTCATGTTCGTGGTGGACGTGAGTGAGGGCGTGAGTGAGACCATGTTGCAGGCGGTGCGGCAGTTCCTCAGCAACACCATCAGCGCGCTTGGGGTCGGGGAGACTGCAACACGTGTCGGTGTTGTGCAGTACGCATCTGGGGCTGCCATCGCCTCCGACCTCAACGACCACTTCACCGTCGCTGAGCTGCAGCAGGTTGTCAGCAACCTTGCGCTCACGGACACGGCGCCGCTGCTTGGCGGTGCACTGAATGTGGCGCGCTCTGTGCTGCGCAGCTCCGTGCAGGGCGGGCGCACCACAGCCCCAGACACCGTGGTTGTTGTCACCGCAACGACAAGTGAGGACAGCGTGAACACAGCAGCCAGCATTCTGGAGGCAGAGGGCGTCAACGTCATTGTTGTCGGTGTTGGGGCTGGCATATCTCTGTCCCAGCTGCAAGCAGTCGTGTCAGATGCAGACAACCTCCACCTCACCGCTAACGCTACCTTGCTCGCGGCGGTGGACCTTGATCTCGAACTGACCTCGGCACTCTGCAACTCCCTGCAAGGTGTGTTGTGGTTGCAGATGTGGGTGCGTATGTGGTTGCATGTTGTGTGTGTGTGTGCGTGTGTTGTGGTTGCAGATGTGGGTGCGTATGTGGTTGCGTGCGTGTTGTGTGTTGTGTGTGTGTGTGTGCGTGTTGTGTGGTTGCAGATGTGGGTGCGTGTGTGGTTGCGTGCGTGTGTGTGTAAATGTGCTTACTGTGGTGTATGTGTGGAAACGAGTGGAATTGTCCTGCTTCTGGTTTGCATTTGGTTGGTGTCCTTGATGTCACTGGTTGTTGCTCACAACAATGAGACGACCTGTCCGGCAATCGGTGTCTTTGCAGAGCTGCAAATTGGGTGTCGCGCGTGTGATTGCGATGCACGGGGCACCGTTGTCAACACCGTCTGTGATGCAGCAACTGGCCAGTGCGTCTGCAAGGATAGAACAACAGGTACCAAGGCGACAGCTGTGTGTTGTGTTACGAGTGTACCTTGAATGTAGTAGACACAAGTGATTGGGTACATCATTTGAAAGATCACCAGGGAATGTCGATGCAGTGTGCGTGCGTGTGTGCTTGTGTTTTGTGCGTGTGTGCTTGTGTTGTGTGTGTGTGTGTGGTGTGTGTGTGTGTGTGTGTGTGTGTGTGTGTGTATGTGTGTGTGTGTGTGTGGTGTGTGTGCTTGCAGTTCTGACACACAACCAGAACCCGAGCATTGCATGTCGTTACACGTACCTTCACAACTTTGGCTACCTGCTTCACCTCACGTTCCCTCAATGTTGTGTTACTCTCAGGCGCGCGTTGTGATCGGTGCAAGGATGGGTATGCCGGCCTGACTGCGGAGTATGCACTCGCGTGCAGCGGCCGTAAGTCGATGCTCGCTGCTGTGCAAGCAAGCTCACACTACCCGTCAACACCTGCTCTGTGTGCTTCCACCTGGCATTGCGTACCCGCGACAACACACACAGACACACAGACACGCACACACACTCACGCACACACACACACACACACATATACACACACACACTCTCTCTTACCTGCATCTACACACGGCCTCTTTTTCTGCAGTGCCATCTGCTGTGAATTCCACGGAAGTTTCGCTTGCTGGGGATCAAGCCGTGTTGGTGTCGTGGACAGCGCCCACGGATCCAAACGGAATTGTCGAGCAGTACACCGTGCGCAGAAACGGACTTGTCGTGATCAAAGTGGATGGCAATGTCTACACCTACCGCGACGAAGACCTCCAGCCTGGGGACACGTACACATACACTGTGGCTGCTACCACGCCTGCGGGCGAGGGCCCTGAAAGCGCACTCGTTCTCATTCGCATCCCGGACACGCAGCCGGAAGGCCTGGCAGCGCCCTCTGTCACGGAGGTCACCCCCTTTGAGCTCAGCGTGAGCTGGTCGCCACCATCGTCACCAAATGGCATCATCGTCGGCTACACGGTACTGTTGCGTCGCATGACAGCTGTGAGCTTTGGCGTGTTTTGGCTTTGGTGCACGCGATAACATATTGTAAACTTTTCGTCTGTGACCATTCCTCTGTGTGGTATGAGTTCGCTTTCGCAGCGTATCGCCGTTCCGTGGCCATGTTGAGTGATCTTCGACTTGCTTGGTTGTCTTGGCTCATTTCCATGCACACACATATGCACTCACACACAAACATGCACACGTCCACACACGCTCGCACACTCCCCTCCTCCACACACACACACACACACACACACACACACACACACAACACACACACACACACACACGGACACACACACACACACGCACACACACACACAGCTGCTTGTGAATGGGGCGCGCACAAGTGTTGGCATCAGCACCAGCCACACCTTGGCTGTGTACGCCTTTACCACGTACAGCATTGCTGTGGAAGCGTGCAACTCTGAAGCATGTGCCGTGAGCAATGCCACCAGCATCACCACGAGCCCTGCTGGCGTGCAAGGCCAAGGTGCACCGACACTGACGGCAACATCCCCACGCGCTCTCAGCATTTCGTGGTCACCTCCAACCGCGCTCAACGGAGACCTGCAAAACTACCGCGTTGAGCTGCAGCAGGTGCCAGGGGGCGATGTTGCTGTCGTGTTCACGGGCACTGATACTGAGACGACGGTCAGCGGCCTGCTGCCGTTCACAACGTACCGTGCGCGCGTCACCACGTCAAACGTGCAAACGACTGAATCTGCAACTAGCCCTTGGACCAACACCACGCTTCCACCCGCAGGTGGGTGTCGTGTTCATGTGCAGGGCGAAAGAGGAGAGAGACAGTGTGTGCGTGCATGTGTGTGTGTGTGTGTCCGTGTGTATGCGCGCGCGCGTGTGTGTATGTGTGTGTGGAGAATGCTGCATGTTGACCTGCATTATTTGTGACATTTGTCATCAGCGGCTGCTTGCTTTGCAGCTGTTTCTTGCTTTCATTCAACCATCCATCTGGTTCTGCCCCCATTGTTAACCACAACACAAAATCCACACACACACACACATACACTTGCTGATTGTGTCGTTGTGCTCGTGCAGCCCCCGAAGGTGTTGCACCACCAAGTCTCGTGAGACTGCAAGCACGCACGGCAATCGTGCGGCTCGCACCACCTGCGCAACCCAACGGTATCACCGAGTCGTACACGCTCGTGCTGAACGGCACCGATGTTGACACCGCACAAGCCGCCGGGAACCGCACGCTCTCGTCGCTTCTCCCATACACCACGTACTCGCTCGTCGTACGCGTCTGTACAGGTAAATTGGCCAACACTGCAAACACACACGCGCACCCACAACTTTACTGGGAAAGAACACCTGTGGTGTGCCTGTGCCTTGCTGACTTGACGTGTCCCCTTTCTTGTTTACATCTCACCCCTGCACATGTACGCATTGCATTGTTCTTGCGTTTGATTGCAGAGGATGCTGGGTGCACGACGTCGTCAGCGCTCGTGTTCACCACGGTGGAGGACGTGCCTGAAGGCTTGACTGCGCCAACTGTGGCTGCGCTGTCACCAACACGTGTGCGTGTCACCTGGTCTCGCCCGACGCAGCCCAACGGCGAGATCACACGCTATGACGTGCAGCGCGTGCACACGCCGATGGACGGCTCGTCACCGGAAACAACCACCACCACTACCATCACGGAGGGACTGGGTGCTGCATCGCTTGAGATTGAGGATGATGTGTCGCCCTATGAGCGGTACACATACTCCATCATCGCCTTCACCTCGGCAGGTTCAGCTGCCAGTGATCCAACCAGCATCACGACGCCCGAAGCAGGTACGTTATGCCACTGCGACTGGCGTTGCCTTATAGCTTTGTGATTGCGGTTGTTTTTCCCCCTCATTCTTTGCTTGTTGTGAAATAATGGTGTATCATCGCATGCTCAAAGTTTGTGTTTTGGTTGCGCCATCATCGCCACCCCCGCACCACAACATGAATCACAACCTCACCTGTGCACGTACACGTTTGCATGTCCATCAGTGCCAACTGGGCTCGCCCCACCTGTTGTTTCCGACATTGCTTTCACGTCCGCTATCGTGTCCTGGTAAGTTTGGGGTTGTGCAGCTTAAACGCGCGCGCATATATGTGTGTGTGTGTGTGCGTGTGTGTGTGCGTGTTTGCAAGCAAGCATATGGCACATGAGTCCAACGCAAGCGTGTGCGCTCTGGTTTGTGCTGCAATGTTCATCTCACCTTCCACCACCTCCCTTGGCCGCCTCCCTTTGCCAACCACACTCTCAGGTCTGCACCCACCTCCCCCAACGGAGCGCTCGTGCAATATCACTTGCTGCTGCGGGAAGAGGGCGATACCACGGATGAGATCGTGGCGGAAGGCCTGGGCACCAACGCTTCGCTGACTCTGCTCACCCCTTACACCGGCTATCGCGTGCGCGTGCGATTTGTCAACTCGGTTGGCGTCGTCACCTCAGATTTCACAGACTTTGAAACGCTGCAAGCAGGTGCGCGCATGCGTTGTTTGCCTGTATAATAATCAGATGCAGTGCCATGAGCGCTAGCGTTCTTTCTACTCGTGCCATGAAGGCCGAGATTCAGCATGCATTCTCGGCCGCACAGATGCCTGCAGGCATGCGGAGCCCTTTTCATCTTGAGGATGTTTAGCCCTTGAGTTGCTTGGATTTGCACAACTCCTCACATAAGCCCTTCTTTTCGTTTCCTGCTGTGCCATCTGTTGATGCTCGCAGCGCCGGACGGCTTCTCGCCACCTCAAGTTGTGTCAACGACGTCGTCATCACTGACCATTCAGTGGCCGGCACCAGCAACGCCAAATGGGGTTATCGCCCGCTACATCGTTCATGTTGATGCCCGCACCATCGAGACGGGTGTGTTCGAGCGTACATGCACTGCTTGCTTCGTGGATGTACATGTAATGTTGTTGAACATGTGTTGAATGACGGGCACAGATGCAGACAGCACACACACACGCGCACACACACACACACATACGCACGCGCACACGCACACACGCATACGCGCGCACACACACACACACACCCATGTGTATGTTCTGCCACTCACTAAGATGCTCTCGTTGGGCTGTCATTGCGTGCAATGTCAATAGCACCGACACTGCGCCAGGTCACGGTGACTGATCTGCTGCCAAATCAGGTGTACTCCGTGTTCGTGGAGGCGTGCACCGAGGCCGCCTGTACAAGTAGCGCTTCCATCACAGGAACCACAGACAAACGAGGTGCGCCGTGTGCCTGCAGCACGGGGTGTGATGTTGGTGTTCCACTGCGCTTCCACACATGAGCTTAAGAGCAACAACGCATTCACGCACACAAACCTGCTCACTCACTCACTCACTCACTCACTCACTCACTCACTCACTCACTCACTCACTCACTCACTCACTCACTCACTCACTCACTCACTCACTTACTTACACACCCACTCACTTACTTACTCACTCCACTCACTCCGAACAGCGCCTGCTGAGCCCGAAGCGCCACAAGCGACGCCGCTCGATCCCACAACCATTCTCGTGCGCTGGGCGGCACCATCGTCGCCAAACCAGCCCCTCACCCATTATGAACTCTATCGTAACGGTTTCGTCGTGTTCACTGGTAAGCTGCGCCCTAGAACGCGCTGTCAGTCCCACTCAGAACGTACGAGTGCACGCGGGTGTTCTGCGATGGGCTGCTGAGCAACGCACGCGTGTTCGCCTCATATGTTTGCGTCATCAAAGCGATTGCGTTCGACTTTTTGTGCGCCTTACTGGGTCTGCTCTTCCGGCTATCCGTTGGTCTTGATGCTTTTTGTTTTGCCGCATATCTGACTTGACCTGCCTGTTTTGCACGCCCTCACCATCACGTACACAGGGCTGAACACAACGTTTACGGACGAGGGCTTGACCCCTGGCACGAGCTATGCGTATGCTGTTGTTGCCTACAACGATGCTGGCGGCTCCACCAGCCCAAGCACGGTCGCTGAGACTCCCGAGGATACGCCTGCGGGCATTGCGCCGCCAACCCTGAGCGCCCTCTCGTCCACGTCCATCTCCGCCACTTGGACGTCGCCGAGTACGTACATGCGTTGAGGGCTGTTGAACTTTTGCGAGGTCTTCGCTGTCCTGCTCTCCGCATGTGTGTGTAATCTTTCTTTCTGCGCGTGTGGGTGTTTCGTGCAACCATACTTGTACGTGCCTGTTAATGTCTCTCTGCTCACGGTTTGCTCATTCATCAACTGGACGGGCGTCATGCACACTATGTTCAGGTGTTCCGAACGGCATTGTCATCTCGTATGCGCTGATTGACCTCGACACGTCTGAGACGGTGTGCACGGGCGATGCGGCCCTGCGCTCGTGTGTTGTGAGTGAACTCAGCATCTACACGCTGTACACCTTCCAGGTGCAAGCGTGCACGGCATCTGGCTGCGGGTTGAGTGCAGACGCCAGTGTTCGCACGAACGCTGCCCCTCCAGTTGGCCTCGCCCTTCCATCCCTGAGCGCCGTCAACGCGACCAGCGTCTCTGTGTCGTGGATGCCGCCCACTAGCCCCAACGGCCCCGTTGTCGCGTACCAGCTCTGGGTTGCAGCGCACTTTGTGCAAACCCCAAGTACGTTGCCCTGTGTGTGTGTGTGTGTGTGTGTTTGTGTATGTGCATGCGTGCGTGCGTGCGTGCGTGTGTGTGTGTGTGTTTGTGTGTGTGTGTGTGTGTTTGTGTATGTGCGGGTGTGCGTCTGCGTGTGCATGCAAACAGGCCTCCTGTGTTGTTGTTGTTGTTGTACATTGGTCTCCTTTGGTTTTCTCGTGCTAATTCGCGCTGTTGCGTGTTACTCTTGCGGCTGCAGGTGGTATGTCCATGTCGCTGCCCTCAAACGGAAGCAGCACAACAACGATGACATCCACCGCCACGACAACCGCTGCACAAACGACAACAGCTTCCACAATGGGCGGAACAACAACACCTGTTGTGTCCACGCAGAGCGGGCCGACGATGCTGAATCTTCTCGATCCAGGCAACGTCAACGGCACTGCGGTGCAGAACGCAGACGGGAGCTGGACGTTTGCCGATGACGCTTTTCTGCAGCTGCTGTCGCATGGCATGCGCATCACGTCTCGCTTCTCCATCGCTTTTGACATGCAACAGACGCCAGGCAACTCGGGCTACTACCTCGCCAAGTCAGACGCCCTCGGCCGCAGGTATGTCGCTCGATTGCAGGCAAGGTGCCGTTTGTCCGCATGCCACATTGCAGCCTCGAACATGGTCTCTTGAACTGAGAATGACACACACACACACACACACACACACACACACACACACACACACACGAACACACACACACAAACGCTCACTCGCATACACGTTTACACACACACACACACACACAAACGCTCACTCGCATACACGTTTACACACGTCCATGCACACTTGTGCGCTGCACACAGGTTCTTCAGTCTGTACAACACGGCGACGAGTCAGCAGCTGTATTTTGTGTACCGTGTGCCTGGAGCAACCGACATTCGGTTCACACGGTTCACGACCAATCTCAACGATGGCAACAGGCACAAGGTTGGTGTGATGGGTGTTGCTTGGGGTGGTGGGTGATGGAAACCCTTGCAAGTGACACATGCTGCACACGTAGGTGGTCTTCACCTGCTTTGAGGCTGCAAGCACTCGGTAACCCTTGACGCCTATTTTTTTTTTCCCATTGCACCTGCCATATTAGGTGCTTGTGAGCGTGAACGGCCAGTCAATCACGGTGACTGTCGATGGAAGCGTTGTTGGCACCAATACGCTTGATGCCGAGGTCGATGACTGCGGTGCTGCCTCGGATGATTGCATCTTCTTCATGGGCCAAAAGGCATCGCTGACAGGTACGCATATGCATGCGGTCAATGTGTGTGTGTGTGAATGCGTATGTGTGAGTGCGTTCTCGTGTGTGTGCATGTGTGTATGTGAATGCGCTCTCGTGTGTATGCACGTGTGTGGCTGGCTTGTGGGGCTCTTGGGCATTGCCGAGGTTAACATGACCCATGCAGTTCAACATCAGAGCACTTTCTCACCGTGCTCGTGTGGCTTGTTTGCACCGACTCAGGTGACACCCTCAACTTTGACGGCACCATGTTTGCTGCCGCTCTGTTCCCGGACTCTGCACTGACCGAGTTCCCTCAGCTCGAAATTGTGCAGGTCAGCTGTTGATAGCTTGGTGCTCTGTTTTTTGTGGTGGTCGTGGTGGTCGTGGTAGTTGTTGTTGTTTAAGTTGTGGTAGTTGTTTAAGTTGTTGTTTAAGTTGTTGTTTAAGTTGTTGTTTAAGTTGTTGTTTAAGTTGTTGTTATTGTTGTTGTTTAAGTTGTTGTTTAAGTTGTTGTTGTTTGCGCCTGTCATACGGCAAAGGGTATGCGCCAATCGAGGAGAAGTACAATGATCTGCAGTACCGCCGACGCGCCCTCACGCTCATGACTGTTGATGACATCGTCGCAAACGTCACAGCGTACGCCAATGCCTCGTGCACTCGTGGCTTAAGTTGTTGTTGTTGTTTAAGTTGTTGTTGTTGTTGTTGTTTAAGTTGTTGTTGTTAAGTTGTTTAAGTTGTTTAAGTTGTTGTTGTTGTTGTTGTTGTTGTTGTTGTTGTTACTCTTGCTGCTGCTCCATATGTAGTGGTACTGCGTGTGGCGTGCATGATTTGATGTGCGTTTGAAGGACAGTCCTTGCCACGCTGACACCCGTTCACACTCACGCATCTTGTTTCAATGCACGCAGCCCGGCGGAGATGTGGTGTCGACATCCTCCACAACCACAACCACGACCACGACCACACCAGCGCCACAGACGACAACGTCACCAGCACCATCGACGCCGGTAGCAGCCACCCCTGCATCCGCACTTGACCTGCCTGCCTACCTGGGTGAGATGCTTTGCTTGATGATGGTGGTGGTGTTGTGTCCGTATGTGTGTGATTGTTTGTATGTGTTCGTATGTGTGTGATTGTTTTGTGTCCGTGTGTGTGATTGTTTTGTGTCCGTGTGTGTGATTGTTTCTGTGTGTGTGTGATTGTTTGTTCGTATGTGTGTGATTGTTTGTTCCTGTGTGTGTGAATGCGTGATTGTTTGTGTGTACTGATGTATTCATGTACCCTTGTGTGTGTGTGCGTGTGTGTCTGCGCCTGTTGTGGCATGAGCATTACAACCTGCCTGCAGCTGGCTGCATGCCTGCCTGTTTGCGGTATCTTGCTCAACAGTCTCACATGCGTCTCGTGTACAGTGTATGAGGGCTTGGATACGACACGTGTCGTGACAGGTGTGCGGCCCTATTCGCAGTTTATCGCGTTTGTTCGCGTCATCAACACGGCTGGCTCTGTCGACTCGAGCCTGCGGGCAACCATCACACCACAGGACGGTAAGCTGTCATGTACATGCCAACACCACCAGCTGTCAGCCCCTTCGTAGCAATAACTGAAGCAACAATACTACTCTCTCACTGAAACAGCCCCTCACACCACCATGATCGCACTCACGCACCCCGTGACACCTCACACCAACACCACTTGCGTCGTCGCCCTTGCACATGGACAGCCCCAGGCCGCGTGTCCGCGCCCAACGCGACGGCCATCAGTGCCAGTGCTGCATTGATTGAGTGGAGCGCACCGGAGTTTGCCAATGGAATCATCACCCAATACCAGGTGACGATGATGCAAAGCGAGAAGGCACACAAAGGCGTTACATGAGAGTGATGTGCTGCCATTTCTATTCTTGAATGAATGGCTTCAGCCACGAAGACAGATGCGCATCCATTTGATCATCCCCTGACTGACAACGACACGGACGTACCTTTGCTTGCCTCCCCCTCCGCCTCCTCCTTCCCTCCCTCCCTCCCTCCCTTCCCTATCCTTTTCCCTGGTTGCATGTGTGGTTCTCTTGTTTCGGGTTTGTTGCCTGTGCAGATTCGCGTGCGTGCTGCTGGCAACCAAGGCCGCGGCTCCGCTGTTTTCACCGGCTTTGCGTTCTCGCACATTGCAACGAATTTGGACCCGGCAACCAGCTACGAAGCCCAGCTCATCGTATCCACCAGTGCTGGCAGCACAGCGTCTGCTTGGACAGCCTTCACCACCCGCGAAGCACGTGCGTGCGTGTGTGTGTGTGTGTGTGTGTGTGTGTGTGTGTGTGTGTGTGTGTGTGTGTGTGTGTGTGTGTGTGTGTGTGTGTGTGCGTGCGTCGTGCGTTTCTTTTAGAAGTGTCATAGGTTTTGTTTTGCTACCACCGCTGTGCTCTTTCCTCCAGCCTACTTGTGGGTTGTATTCTCCCCTCTCTCCTTCCACCTTCTTACGTCGTCGATTGCTGCGTACTGTTTGCGTGTTTTGCGCTGCAGTCCCGACTGGGCTGGCTGACCCCGTGCTCAGCGACATTCAGGCCACCAGCGCCCGCGTTTCCTGGTCACCACCTTCGTCTCCAAACGGTTCGTCGCAACACCTGCAGTGTCGGCCGTGCTTGCATGCCGGTGGCCGCACACTGATGCATATTCTCTCTTCTGTCTGACGCGTTTGCACACACGTACACACGCACGCCCATACCATTTCTTTGCTTCTTGTGCTGGTTGTTTGTCATCCACCTCTATTCTTTGCAACAACAACCTTTTTTCTTGCAGGTGAGATTACCCGCTATCTGCTGCTGGTGGATGGCACAACCGTCTTCAATGGAAACACTCTGGAGACGACGTTGTCCTCGCTCTCGCCAGGCACAAGCTATGATGTGCAGCTGCAAGCGTGCAACACGCTTGGGTGCACCTCTAGCACCGCCACCTTGTACACCCGCGAAACAGGTGGGCATCTGACACGCTTGCTTCTCAGTACTGCACGACCTAAACCATGCCCGCACACACACACACACACACACACACACACACACACACACACACACACACACACACACACACACGCGCCACGAGACTCACGAAACACTGCGGTTCCCATGCGTCTCTGTTTGTTGTTCCTTGCTTGCTTGTGTGCTCCTGCAGCGCCTGGGGGTCTCGCAACACCTATCATTGCGAGCGTGCAGGCACGCGCCATCACCCTTGCCTGGCAACCACCAACGTCGCCCAATGGGCAGGTGCGAGCGTGCGTGCATGGATGAATGTCACGTTGGAAGTGTGTTTCTTTGCTCTTTTATTTCTTTTGTGCTCTGACGGTGTGTGGTTATTGCAGTGGTTTCTGCGCTCACATCCTCGCTTTCATCTTCAACATGCTAACAATCATCTGTCGCACATTGGGAATCCAGGTGTCGTACGTTGTGCAGCGGCGCGAGTTGACTGGGGACGAAAACAGCCCAACGCCACTGGCAACACAGAACATTACGGAACCCACCACTGACACATCGCTTGTGGACACCAATGTCTCCCCCTTTACCCAATATGAGTATCGCATCGCAGCCTTCACCACGGGTAAGCAGTGCGCTGCACAAGCTTTGCCTGCAAGCAATACCACACCTGCCATTGATGTCTCCTCTGTGTGTCCGATGGCATACAAGCCCCTCCCCCAACAAATACAGTTGCATGCAAGCACCGACTCGCACACACACACACACACACACACACTCACTCACTCACACACACACACGCGCTCTCTCTCACTCTTACTCGCCTTACGCAAACATACGACACGCACAACCTCTCCTTTGACTTAGGCGGCACAACGCTGTCTGGTTGGGTTGCCGTGCGCACGAGCGAGGCTGCGCCCGAAGGCATTGCACCACCGACTGTCATTGCAACTGCACCCAGGAGCCTGGCCGTGACGTTTGCACCACCAGCAACGCCAAACGGCGTCGTGACGAGCATGCGCATTGTCGTCAGCGCCGCTTCCGGCACCGTGCTGACGGTGGATGCCACGGGAACACGCTCCCTCAACATCACCGACTCTGATGCGCTGTCTGCATACACAACCTATGACGTCGCTTTGGAGGCGTGTACGGATGCCGGTTGCTCAACGTCGCAGCCCTCCCAAGTGGCCACCCCCGAAGACGGTACGTGCATCGAACGCTCTTGTTCTCATGTGTAAGTGGTTTGAAGGCGTCCTTGATCGGCACCCCATCTCACCACGAACATACATGCACACACACACACACACACGCGCGCGCGTGTACGCACACACGCACACATGTACACACACACATGCACACACACACACACACACATGCACACACACTCACTCTCACACACATGCACACACACGCACTCTCACACACGTACATACACATGCACACACACACACACACACACAGACCCTGTGGACTTGGCTCAGCCTGTTGTGACGACAATCAACTCCAGCGCGTTCCAGATCAACTGGCTGCCGCCATCACAGCCCAACGGCATTATCACCACGTACATTCTCATCATCGGTCGCGTAACGGGCCCGCCGGCCATCGTATCGCTCAACGGCGACGTGCTTTCCTATGTGTTTGCGGATCCGGCGTTTGTTCAGCCTTACACCGTGTACCAGTTCCTCTTGCAGGCGTGCAATTCTATCTCTTGCGTGACAAGCTTGAGTGTGGACGCACGCTCCGGCGAGGTGCCACCATCGGGCCTTGCATCGCCCACACTCGTCGCCCTGTCCAACGGCGACGTCAGCGTGTCATGGGCGCCGCCAGAGAACGCAAATGGCCAAATCACAGAGTACATTGTGTTCCAGCAGCAAGGGTCTTCCTCCCTTGCTCGCCGCCGCCGCGCTGCTGGCAACTCCACCGTGCCCGTGTCATCCACAGCAACAGCAGCGACAACAGTGACAACCCCGCCTGGTGCTGGTGGCTCAACGTCCTCCACACCCCCGCTCGACCCCATCAGTTCCACATCAACCACAACGGCGCAAATGAGCCCCGTGACCTCCTCGTCCTCCACAGCGACCACGGCTGCCCCAACGACGCCACTGTCTTCGATGCCACTGCCGTCCACGGTACCTGCCGCGGCGACCACAGGAGCAGGTCCAATTGCTTCATCGAGTGCTCCAGCGGCATCCACATCCACGAGCACATCGCTGCCACCAGCGACGACCGTGCAGCAAACCGTTCGCATGGCGGGCGTGTCTGCGGCGGACGTGCCACTTCCGCTTGTGGAGCAGGTGTATCTGGATGCACTGGACGCCAAAGCACAGGAGGTCACCGCTGAGCTGAAGGACTCGAACTCCACTCTTCTTCGCCGCCGACGCCGGCGACGACGTGCCACACAGGAAGGCGAGGCAGTGCTTGTTGTTGTGACAGCGACAGTACCGCGTTTGGATGACGTGAGCGACGCTGTCCAGGCCATGCAGCATGTTGTATGGTCAGGCACGCTGCTGACAGCATTGCAGTTTGCGGATCCAGCCACCTTCCGTGACGCAACCATCACTGTCGCACAGGACGCCGCCGCCGTCGCAGACTCGACAACCCCGGCCACCGGCACAAGTGCACCGGCATCTACCACATCCACCATTGCAGCGACGACGACGACAACGACAACGTCAGCGACAACGGAGGAGCCGGTGATCGTGTATCGTGGACTGGACACGCAGGTCATTGTGTCTGGTTTGCTGTTCAACACGGAGTACACGTTTGTGGTTGCCGCAAGCAACGGTGCTGGCAGTGTGTTCAGCGATCCCACCAGCGTGCACACCGTGGACGGCCCACCGTCTGGTGTTGCCGCGCCGACTGTGGCCCAGGACACGCCAACATCTGTCCGCGTGGTGATTTCAGCGCCAGACATGCCAAACGGAGACGGCGTTTCCTACAGCGTGCTTGTGGATGGCTCTGCGTCTGCCGACGCCAGCGAGGCGGGCGAGGTCGTGGTCAATGGCCTCCAGCCCTTCACCACGTACACTGTTGCCGTGCAAGCGTGCACGACTGGCGGCTGCACAACCAGCAGCGCCGTGAGCATTCGCACGTTGTCAGATGCCCCTGCTGACCTTGATGCCCCAAGTGTGACGGCAACGTCGTCGTCGTCGCTCGTCGTGACCTGGATGGCGCCCGGAAAGCCCAACGGCATGTTGTTGGACTACAAGGTGTGGCTGCGAGAACTCGAGCAGTGCAGCATTGCCGAGTACCGCGAGGAAAATGGGTATGTGGTGCAATCGGAGGCAGGCCTGCCCACGCGCGACAACGACGGGCTGTCCTGTCGCTTCGTCACGTGTCCTCTTGGCCTGAGCGCCTGCGGGCTGACCTGCTACGATCCGTTCAACGAGGCGTGCTGCGATGGTCAGGTGCACGACCGGCAGTCTGGCCACGAGTGCTGCGGCACCAACTACGTTGCAAGCGATGGCTCCGGTGACACCACTTGCTGTGGCGGCCAGCTTGTGCCCACACGCGCCGGGTTTGGCTGCTGCGCTAGCCGCTACGTTTCCATGGGTGCCGACCAGGTGTGCTGTGAAGGCCAGGTGCAGACTGGCAACGAGTGCTGTGGCGACATTGGCTTTGTCAACACGCCGGAGCAGCCACGCATCTGCTGTGGCGGACAGGTCTTTGACAGCTTCAGCAACCGCCAGTGCTGTGGTGGTTCCATTGTCTCGTCTCAGCTCGTTTGCTGCGGCGGCCTCGATACCGGCATCGCCCACGACCCAATGTGCGTGTGGTGGTGTTGTTGTTGTTCTTGGTGTTGTTGCAAGTGTACATACTCGTGCGCGCCTGCATGTGTGTGTGTGTGTCGGTGCGTGAAGTATGTGTGAAACTGTGTGCTTTGAATGTGTGTGGAACTTCGCGCTTTGTTGACCAACACAAGATCTTTGCTTGCGTTCATCCATAGCTTTGTTGGCTCACGTGTGTGCCCTTTTCGCTCATCTCTAACCAAAAATCATTGCAGGGAAGAGTTTGCGTGCTGTGGAACAGATTATGTGCACGGACCAACGAGCACATGCTGCGGTGAAGGCGCTGATGCTCAGGCGTTCACGTACGGCACCGCAGAGGAGAAGTCGCAAGATTCGCGAACATGCTGCGCCAACGACCTCATCGCTCAGGTTTGAATACTGCTGATGTGCGGATACGTTTGCATGTGCATGCATTTGTGCAACATGTGTGTGTGTGTTGAATGTTGCGTGTTGCGTGTTGTGTGAGTGTGTGTATGATGTGTTGCGTGTTGCGTGTTGCGTGTCGCGTGTCGCGTGTCGCGGGTGGCTGCTCGTTGACTCCACCTTTCATAGCTTTCAATGCGTTTTGTGTCCATTCAAGACCTTGTCCATGACACCCGCCTCACTCAACGCACCCCCTTTGACAGTCACAGGAGTGCTGTAATGGCCGCGCGTATGATCCCACGACCGAGACATGCGCAGACCGAACGTCTTCGTCCAGCAGCACGATTCGCGAGTGCTCAGCGGGAACCGTGTGCTCTGGCGCCGGCAGCGACGGCGCCGTGTGTGGCAGCTGCGACTTTGACAACACCCAGCAGTCGTGCTTCGCGGTCGACGTGACCCAGGCGCTGGCTGATGCCGCGCAGCACCCAGACCGCACGCTTGTTGTGCCGCCACAGGAGGAGAGCCAGTGCATGTATGTGCTGTGCGGGCTCGACGAGAGCGTGTGTGGCGCAACGTGCTTTGGCCCAGACGAGGTGTGCTGCAGTGGGAAAGTGTACCAGCGCGACAGCTCCCGTCGCTGCTGTGGCACCAGCTACCTCCCGCGAACAAGTGGCGACGTGTGCTGTGGGAACGCCCTGTATCCGTCACAGCCCGGCCACGCCTGCTGTGGCAGCCGCTACGTCGACATCCCCGATGGCAGCGTGTGCTGTGACGGGCTTGTGCTGGATGGTGACTCGTGCTGCGGCGCCGAGGGCTACTATGCCGTAGACGTGGGCGATTCAATGAAGTGCTGTGGCGGACAGCTGCTTGAGACCACAAGCGGTATCCAGCAGTCGTGCTGTGGCAGCGGTTTGATCGTGTCGGGCGAGGTGTGCTGCGAGGGCGTGTCGTACGAGCAACAAGACGGGTACGCGTGCTGTGGATCCGCGTACGTGCGCGAGGACAGCAGTCTCTGCTGCAAGGCAGCGGATGGCGCTATTGTGGTGCACGATTACAGCAGCGCATCGGCCAAGGCGCTCGCGGGCGAGGTGTGCTGTGGCACCAGCGCCATCCCAAGCCACCTTGGCTGCTGCAACGGCGAGCCATTCGACGAGACGGAGTACGTGTGCGCGGACCGCAGCAGCGGCTCTCGCTCATCCTGCGCTGCCGGCCGCCTGTGTCCCGTCAGCCAGGCAGACTCTGCGTACTGTGATTCGTGCTCGTTTGACACGGCCGCGAGCGTGTGCGGCGTTGCGGTTGGCGTGCCGTTCACGCCGGAGTGCAGCGCCACGCCCTCCCTCGCGTACGCGGGCCCGGGCTTCACGGCGACGGTGAACGACCTGAAGGAGGACACGCGTTACGAGGCCCAGGTCGAGGCAGCAACCATCGGTGGCGTGGCTCGAAGCGGGTGGACGCCCGCAAGCACGCTTTCCGGCGAGCTTCCTGCGCCACGCTTGCTCGTGCTGGGCAACAGCAGCATCCTCGTGTCATGGGACGACGCACCCACGGAGTTTGGTGTTGTGCAGCGGTATGAGCTTTACCGCGACGGCACCGTGCTCGTGTTCTCTGGCCTGTCCACCGTGTTTGAGGACACAGGCCTGGTCCCCGGCACCATGCACACGTACGAGTACGTCGCTGTGTCTGAGTTGACGACGACGCGCTCGCGCACAGCCAACGCGACCACGTTCACCTCTGTACCCGCGGGCTTCAGCGCCCCAACGTGCACTGCGCTCGGTGCAACCAGCGTGCAGGTGCAGTGGACAGAGCCTTTGCAGCCCAACGGCATTATTCTGCAGTACATTCTGCAGCGTGGTGACTCCCCAGACACGCGCACCAACGTGCAGCTGAGCCTGGCGGAGGTGGTGCAGGGCCTGGAACCGGCGACCGCCTACACGTTCCGCGTGTTTGCCTGCACCGAGACGGGCTGCAAAGGCTCACCGCCTTGTTCCGCGACAACAGATGAGGCTGCACCAACAGGCATGCGCGCCCCCACCACGGAGCTGGCCGGCGGCACGCAGTTGACGGTGCAGTGGCTGCCACCGCTTCAGCCAAACGGCGTGATTACCAGCTATCTCGTGCAGACGCGCCCTGTTGCGGCCGGCGCGAGCGTCACGTTTACGACCGCAGCCACCCTCGACCCCAGCATGTCGACATCCTTGGAAGCAAGCGTGATCCTCCTCTCAAACGTGGAGTATGCCATTCGCGTCGTTGCTGTCAACTCGGCCGGGAACGCCACCAGCCCTGCTGTGCTGGAGCCAAAGCCCCCCGTGTCTGTCAGCGCGCCTGTTGTTGTTCCGCCCGTGCTTGCCAACGAGGTAACACTGGCCTGGGCCGAGGTGACCACGTTTGTGTCATACTACGCCGTGGTGCTGAAGGAAGCGAGCGCACCCGACAGCGCGTACACGCTGGCGCACATTGGCACA